ACTCCATATTGATCTTCAAAAATTTAAATGCAATGTTAATCATTATCTTTTGTCTTAATTCCTGTTCTTTTTCATTCTCTCTCCTTAATGTTTCTCTCTTTCTCATTCTTTCACACTCAATAACCCCTTGCATCTTAGTGGCTTTATTGCCTCGTTTGGTGTGAAATGATTAAAAAATATTTTGAATCACTTTCAATGCATGCAATATTGTCTTCTGTTGTTGATGAATGAGAGTGCCTTACATGAGGAGGCTCAAACTAGCGATTCATACAACCCTGCCATATTTGGTAACCCTAAACCACACAAATACCTGTTTCCTTGCTCATTACATGTTTACCATAGTCAATAAAAAGTTCATAGTGAATGCTTGCTGGATTTTTGTTATTGACATACAAAGATTTTATTACACCATGCACTTTTATGGTGACAGACATTTTTGTTGTGAGGTCACATATACATACTCAATATTAATAAGAATTAATGCTTGTTTTCATTCACAGCTTTCACATTATCTTAATTTTGGTTAACTTAACCATAACCCTGTACCTTACATTTTGAACATCCATTGATACATCTTTTAGTGCTTCTAAATCAGATGTACATATCTACAAATTACAAAAGCTGAAATTTCTCTGAAATTCATGACAAAACATAGTTTTGTAAAGCAACATAGAGAAGTAAATATTAGTAAATTATGTTTTAAGAATGTTTTGCTAAAATTAGAATGAAAATATAATTGAATAAAAAAACTATAAACATGCTTAATAAATTAAACTTTATCTTTAAAAGTTAATGCAAAAATAATTTGTAAAGAAATTATGAAAAATTCAAATAGAAAGCCAAGCTAGTTTTTATCAAACTCTACAATGTATAATAATTTGTATTGCTATTTTTGTTTTATTTTTAATAAATGTTAATTAATCACCTCACATGTTTGATTCATTCAATATTTTCACTGGTTGTTTATGTTGTCCCAAAATTTAATGAACATTTTCTCTGAACATCTCATAAATAATATGGACTCTTATGAACTAGATAGATCACTTAATTAAGAACTACAAAAACATCCTGTGGATAAAGAGTTCACAGCAGTGAGATAGGGAGGAAGAAAAGATAAGTAACAAAAAAATGATTCTGGGAATTTTTCTGTTTTTCCTCATACATGCCTATTTCACTGTAAGTTGCCTGATGGCCAGAGAAATGACCAGTACAAGAATCACAAGTCTATTAGTTTGTATAAAGTTGCAAATATCAAGAGTAGTTAATCTCAGCAATATTAAAGAACAGAATTTCTTATCAAATCAAAATACAACTAGGTGAAAATAATCCATAAAAATCAAGGCATCATAATATAATTTAAATATTGATATGAAATAAAATTGGGAAAAAATTATTAACATATTAAAATTTATATATTTTTAAAGAAATATGTGAAAAAATGTTTTGCAGAGCTGGAGTAATATTTTAAAATTTGCAAAAAAAAATTCCATCTTACAATTACAGTATAAGCACTATATATGTTTCCAGATCCCCTCTATAAACATAATAATTAAACTATTAGATTTTAAATTATTTTGTGTAAAATAAAGATGAATAATTAAAGTTAATATAAAATATTATTTTCTAGTAGGATTTTGTAGTTATATTTAAATATAAATTATTTTAGATAACCAACTATTTGCAAAATATTAATTTCTTCAATGTCAGTTAATATTTAATATTCTAGTACAAGTCTATTACTGTAGGAATTACAAACTACTTTTATTTAGTTGCTGTGTAAACTAATTGGAAAAGAAAGTACAGTGTGTATCAAAATGACTAACATGTTCTGGTTAATATTTTAAAATTTCTCTTTATTCTCAACAATCTGCATTTTAAAAAGTTTTATAAATGAAAAAAATAAGAACATTTTGGCTGAATTGTAAATATTTAAAGATTATCAAGAAGGAATCCATTTAGACTAAAAATTGCAAAATGTTTCTATCTGATTACTAATTTGTAATCATAACTAATCTTATAAGAATATCCTCCTTTTAGTATGTGGTAAACTATAATAAAATTACAATACAATCATTAAACAGATAAATTAATGATTACTGCTATTGGCAGCCAGACATCAAATGAAAATTGATCAAACATGGACCTTCATGCCCAAGAAAAAAAAAAAAAATATAATGTAGTGTCAAAAAGGCGTTTTTTCCCCATGACACCACTTTTATTTTAATTAACTTCATTTTTCAGCAATGTTTATTGTTTTAAAAAGCAATGATTAGAATTGGAATAAAACCTAAACATATGATGAAAGAGAATTCATTTTTTTTGTTCTTGAAAATTTACAGCAAAAATATTAAACACTATCAGATTATTTACAAGAATAGTTTTATATTTGCAACATTCTAAAAAACTAAAGCAATGCAATATTTATCATTTAACAATTTATAAAGAAATAAATATGAAAACAATTTTTATTCATAAATTTATAAACATTTACTAAATTATTAATATATGTGAACCTACTATAAGGAATTCCTTATTTCTTCTTTTATGTGCTGTATCCCTTCAGGACCCAGGTGATCATGGTCCTCCACCTCCTCCTCTGTAGCTCTTAAATTTTGTCTTTTTGTTATTTCTCCCAGATCCTGTGCTGCCATCCACTTGCTCAAGCCCATTAAGTATGTCAAGTGTTACTTTCCCCTGTCCCTCTTTCTGCCCAGTGAGTATCAGATTTTCCAAGCCCTCCTTCCTCATTATGCGTCCCAGAAATTTCATCTGCCTCTTCCTGATGTTAAGTATAAGTCCCCCTCTTTGTATCTATTCTCTCCAAAACTTTGTCATTGCTCACATGTTCAGCCCATGGTATCCTTAGCATCCCTCTGTAGAATCACGTTTCTGTTGCTTTGAGTCTCTTGTCCAGCATTCACTGCCATACAGGAGGACAAATATCATGTAACAGTTCAGTACTTTTTTTTCTTTGTTTCCAATGAAACTTTCGTGTCTTGTAATACTCTACTTAGCTTTTGGAATGCTATCTCAATATGTCTTCGGATTTCAGTGTCACACTTTCCATCCCCTGTTAGGACACTTCCCAGATATTTAAATTTCTGTATCTGCTTGATTTTAGTGTCTCCAACCTGTAAATTGCATTTTGGGCTCATGTTTTTGCTGTTGATAATGCATTCTGTCTTCTTGTAGTTTATGCTTAGTCCCTTCTTGCTCTCCTTCACTACCTGCTGTAGGAGTTTTTGTAGTTTCCTTTCATATCTTATCCTATTGAAATTGTGGCCACTAATGATGAATCCTGGTAGGATTTCCAGTTCTCTCAGAATTGTCTCACTGTATAGGTTGAATAAGTGAGAAGACACATCCTTGCTTTACACACCTTTCTATTTTTTAACTCATTTTTTATCTGTATGCAGGTGTTTTGCTGCCAGTAGAGATTTTTGATTATACTAATGTCTTTCCCAAAGATGTCAAGGTTGCTGAACTGAAAAAGTCCTGTGGGCAATCATTTTACCAAAAAAGTTATTCTGCAGGTACATCTTGAGAAATATCTTAACTGGAAGTCAAACACAGGATTTTTTTTTTAAATTATTTATTCAAAAATTCTTTTAGAGGTAGGCCTACCATTTTTAATTTTTTGTCTGAATTCGTCATTTGAATTTTTCTTTTTTTTCTCTTTCTTTGTAATTGATGTTCTTGGTTGTATTTGAGTGTTTAATTTTTACTTTAAATTTGAATTGTTCATGTTTTGGGTTACAAGTAATCTCAATATTTAATAGGCAACATGTTTTTTTTTTTGCCTTTTTTTGTTGCTTTTTTAATCTTCTATTTTTTCCTTGACGTGTGGTTTTAAGGAAAGTATGTCCCCCTCCCCACCACCCTCAATATATTCAAAAGGTCAGATAAACATTGCATGCTGAAAAAGTCCTGTGGGCCAAAAATCATCTTACCAAATAAGTTATTCTGTAGGTACATCCTGAGAAATATGCAGGATTTTTTTAATTATTTATTCAAGAATTCTTTTAGAGGTAGCTCTACCATTTTTAATTTTTGTCTGAATTGGTCATTTTAGTTCCTTATTTATCATTTTGTAAAATTCAAATCAATTAGAAAATGTTTTTTCTAACCATTTCAATAAATAATATAATAAATAGTGTAAATAAACAATCTAGTAAATAAATAGTGTTTATCTTTGTTGTCAATTCTCAAAAACAAAGAAAGTGTATTAATTTCCTTTTGTCATATTTTTAGGTTTTATTAAAAATTCTAATAATTACTTTTTAAAACAAACATTGCTGAGGTAGTTAAAATAATAGCGGTGCCAATGGAAAAACTGTCTTTTTAACTTTCCATTATTATTTTTTTTTTTTTTGCAGGCATTAAGGTCCAAATTTGCCAAAAATTGAATGATTGTTGCAAACCATCAAAAGTGGTTATTTGCATAGAAAACTATGAGTTAAGAAACCAAAATATTTTATTTTATCTGCTTATTTTTATCAGTATATAACTACTTTGGGCTTTTTTCTAAGAGATACATGAAAGAAAACTTCTCTGTGTGTGTATGTTATAAAAGTAGGGAAAATGTGCACAAATTGTTCTTAAAATATTAAAGTTAGTGTTTAATGATTAAAATGTAAATTGTAAGTCAATTCTTTTAATTATACAGGAATTCATGCTAATTTAATGTATCTTATTAATATTTTTTAACATTAGTTAATCAGTTTATTTTTTCCTTATGTTAATTGTCAACATCCCCCCTCAACTTTTAAATGATTAACAGCATAAAAATATAAAGTCAGTTTACCCTTCATTTTTTTCCAATGTGTTAAATTGGGATAGATATTTGGCTGCTTTTTATCTCCAAACTTACACAATTTTATTTCTATATTTACAAAAGTATTACTAAAATGTATGTGAATATCTCAATGATATGAGAATGTTTTAGTGTCAAATTGCAGAAAGATTGCAGGATTTTCTTGCTGTATGTAACGTAAACATACCAGTTGAACTTTTGGCAATACATGTTCATTAAGGTTTCGTTCAAGGTCTGAATGGTTCGTGGTATTGACCATTGCGTGGCCTGAAAAATAATTTGGTAAGGAGAAGAAAATACATGACTGGGAAAAAAAAAAGAAACAAAAATAATAAAATGTCTAAAAAGAATTAAAAATTGGAGAGACTTAGATTAACAAATGTGATGCAGATTAAGAATTTTGATTAACAAAATGATGAACAAAAGATACTGAGGTAAAAAGTGGAAATTTGTAAGAAATAAATAAAAACTAAAATTACTGATAATTTTTGAGAAAGAATTAAAAAAAAAAAAAAAGAGTGAAACATTTAAGATAAATCTTACAGAAAAATATTTACATTGCAAAATACTTGAAACATTCAAGAAAAAAAAACAAAAAAACAGAAAATAGGAAGAAAAAAAAAATAAAGAAAATATGTAAGGATAACATAAATCTGTGCCTAGTGAAGCTTTTCGCTTTTATGAGGAAACTGCTAATTTAATTTATGTTATATACTGTACCTGATAACTCTAATGGGTACGTCCCAATCCTCATAAATATGGTGGACAATATTGTAAATGGGAGTAATATGCTGTCTAAGTAGTCCACCACTAGCAGTAGCTTACTTACTTCACGCCGCTGGTGAATATTGTATTTTGTTGATGCTATAAAAATTACCATTTCATTTATTCCTCATTCAGTAACCCTTCTTGGATTACAATAATTTATTAAATCAATTTCACTTTTCTCCTATCAAGAGAAAACTGAGCATTGACAGAACTCAACTAATCAAAATTTAATATAAAATGAGTGAAAGAGATAGGGAAAACGGAAAACAAATGGAATATGAGGTGCTGCTAAAAGTTCTTCATGACCCACTTTTCAAAACCTGACTAAATAGATGTTAGATTATTTTTTAAAAGGGATTTTTGGTTGAAGCTGAGAGAAGAGATTAAGAAAATACACTCTTTGCAAGAATATTAATCATTTACTGTTTCAAAAAAAAAAAAAAAAATTTTTTTTTCTTATGGATTGTATACCTGAAGAAGGCCAGAGAATTGATTTGTTGAAATATTTAATAACAAAAGCAATACGTAGAATGAGTTTAATAATCTGAACAACTCTAAGAAAGTTTTTATTAGCCATTTTAAGATTAAAAGACTTGTTACAACTTCAGAAATAAATGAAAATGTGATTAAAATTTAAAATTATATTAATATTTCCAGAATGGAAAGAAACGTTTGCAAAATATATTTAAAAAAAATAATGCCTTAATCTTTTAACAATTTATATTGGTTAGTCTCACCAGAATTTTCCAAGATTATGCTGAGAATTCTTTTACAAAAATATGATGATGGAAATAAATTCACACATCCCTACAATGCATTATGGGTAATAAACAAAAATATTTGTTCTTGAGATATTTGGCAAGAATTTTCTTTATTAATATTAGGACTAATATCCTCATCTTTGTTATTATCATCATGTTTCAACTGTTGTACCCTCCATCTTTCTTCAGATGTCTGTTGATCTAGTTAACCATCAGGGAATTTCTACCTGAACTTTTTATTTAATCTATGGGGAGTGAGTGTTCTTGTTTCATTGTCAATGTCTAGGGACATTATAGTCTTTTTATTTATTTGGTTTACTTTCAGATTTTGCTCTTTGTCAATAGCTATAGGGTCATTTAGTGCAACTATGGCAGCTTTTATGGTTATTCATGTTCACTGAAGTTTGTTACTATTGAAAGTTTTTTTTTTTTTTTCATTCATAGAAATTTGTTAAAGTATCACTGATTTGTAATAACTGAAGAAAATAAATGACTTTAACAATTTGTCAGATAATGAATCCACTTTACTTTCTGTAAAATTGACAAATAAAATTTCTCCAAGTCATAAATTAAGGTCTCACTCACGGCCACCCAAGGAGGCTTACTATTTGCCTGTAGGCAAAAAATCATCAGTTTTTAAAGTATTCTACTTGACTGACTTATTACGCTTTACAATTGGCCAAGAGTGAAATGCATTTGCATGTTCTTAAAAGCAATCTATTCAACTCTGCATCTTATGACCTATGCTTGCTTGCATCATTTATGACTAGCTAGAAGTAAAATAAATTTACATGTTTGCTGATCTGGTCCAAATGAAGCATTGTTTCTTTACAAAAATAGCAAAGTACATTAACCAACAAGGTAAGTTGACTCAGGTAACTCTTTGGCAGACTGAATCACCATCCGAGTAAGTGATGACAATTCTTTAGAGAATGAAGGTGACTCAATTCTCGATGCTTGGCAATGGTGCAAAATTGTGGACACACTAGTTATGATCTTGCCCTTTCATGCTTTCTTCTTAGCAGTGTTAAAATGATGACCCACTCTGACCAGATTTATTTTTCAATGTTTATTTTTATGAAGAACTGGTAGATCGTAGTTAAGCTGAAACCATTTGCAACACAAATGTTTTATTTTTTATGAATTGCAAAGACAAATCCCACAATGAATTACCAGTGCTTTTTGCCTTGAAAATTTATGAGATAATCCACAAGGAGTTTTATATATGTGAAACAAAAAAAAAAAAAAATTAATTAAAAATTAATTTTATAAAAATTAAAATCTCTTAAGGTGTTTACAGAAATTAATTCTAGTTCAGAAAATGTTAGCCTGAAATGTTACTATCTTATGTGATAAAGAGTTAGATAGTCAGAAAGGTAGTAAGTAAAAATGCCCAAAATAAGATTTTAATAAGAATCTAAAAAGCAAAAAAAAAAAAAAAAAGTCTTAGATTTTAAAACAAGTCTTGTATAGTGTACAAACCTTTTGTGGTTTAAGAAACTTATTTATCATTAGTCATTAAGAGTAAGAACTAAAAATAAATTGCAAGATAATTATATTTATGAATCACTTTTATGAGTGTCTGAAAACTTAAGTTTCTCAATAAAATATCATAAGACTATTTTAATCTTTCCAAAACCTATTTTGTATTAAATTTGGCAAATAATTCTCTTTTGTGGATAAAACATGTGGAGGGAATTTTGGTAATGTTTTTTGCAACCAAGAATAGTATTTAATGTTTTGAAATTTTTTTTAATGAAAATAAAAAAAAAAGCAACATTTTAAAAAAATGCTAAATTTAGAAAGATTTGTAAAAGAGAAAATAGAAAAGTTTCAATTAATTTGTAAGTCAAATCACTCAAATCCATTTTTAACTATTGATCTTAGAAAGTGGTTGCATCCAGCTAACAGTTTAGATATTCCTGAATGAGTTTGGTGCCATGCATGGCATTCATATGAATGTCTGATGAGACTATTTAAGAACATGATTCAAGTTTTTAGGTGAATGTTTTGGTTTTTGTAGCAATTTGCAGTGTTGGGCAAAACTACCTCCTATTCTATGTTCAATTTCCTTATCACCTATACTAAATTTATTATAACTGATCTATACACTGAGGTAAATCTATATACAAGTATCTAAATATTGTATTTGTAAATAACTTAAAAATACGTAGCTCAACAGCAACATGATACTTAAGGTTTAAAATGAAATTTTAAAAATGAAAAATCTTTCTTGAAGCTTTTATTTCAGTTTTAATTTCAAGCTAATAGATTAAATTTAATATTTCCAATAAGCGAAATACTTTTTCTGTATTTCAAAACCAATTTAAATTGACTGGAAGGCGTTTCATTTTGAAATAGCTGATTTTAACATAATTTTTAGCTATTTTAGCAATCTGTCATCACAATGTAATTCTCTTTATTAAAAAAATCTTTCAAAAATAAGATGTACTTTTCTGAAACCTTATTTGAAGAATATTAGTTGATTTAAAGTCTAATTAATCTGATTTGAAACAAATATTACTTACTTTAAGTTTAAAATATAGAAATGCATTTTTTTTAACACTGTGGTAGGTGTTTATAGCTTGACTGACAAACAGAAGTTTTATTTTTCTATGGTGGATATATCTGTAAAAATAACTTGAGGAATATAATATGAGCACTTTTTTTATAATTTTCAACTACCCAGGATTCTTAAATATTTATGAAAATATTCTCTGTAATCTAATATTTTATTGAATTTTAGGTACTTTCACTTTAAATTTACTATAGTTATCGCTCTTATTTTCTGATAATGTCATCTATGGAGGTTTGTATTTACTTAAATTGGCACATTTATACACATACAAAAAAATTTCTAATAAATTTTTTATAAATGAATTTTAATAAGCTTTTTCCAATTATGATTAGTAAATATATTTTTACTTAATAACAATATCACTTAATCTCTACAAAATAAGACAAAAAATTAAACTTTATAAATTATTAATAAATTATTATAATTAAAATAAAATGAAAACAATTCTTGTAAAACTTCATTATTCATCGAAAAATTTTTTTAAGACAATAGTGTTCATAATATATTTTATTCATATAAGCAGTTAAACACTTTTTCTAATTAAATAATATTTTAATTTTGTTTCATTTTTTTATTTTATGATCTCGAGCAGATTTTTGGTAACTGGGTATCCTATTTTACAAGAAGAAATTTATGATTTAAATTCTCTAAGGAGTTCTGCTTTTAACTAATTCAAACATTAAGATTTGCAAAATTCAATTTCTCAAATTTTCTTAATAAAAAAAAATAAATAAATAAATATATATTTTTACTAAGATTTCTAAAAGAAAAAAGTTTATAAAATAATTTCATTCATTTGTGAATAAATCCTGAAAGTTCTAATAAAATTGACAATTATTTGATTTTTGCAAGATTTTCCAAATCAATGTATTAAAAATTTCTTATAGTAATCTTTGCCAACCACCAGATTTTTAATCAAAATTTCAAATGTTCTAAAACTGATTAAAAAATATAATTTAATAATCAAAAAAATTATTTTTTTCTTAATAAAAACAAAGTTTTATTGTCAAAATCTTTGTTATTATTAAGTTTGGGGCATTTTTTCATCATGGTATGCTAATTTTTTTGCAAATCAGCGGAGGTACCTACTTAAAAATGCTATGAACTTTTGTTCCAACTTAATATCAACTTAATAACTTCTGATCAATATATGCTCAAAAGTATATTTTGATTTATTTCCCTTTAACCCGGCAAATTAACCTGCTTTGGAATCTATTTTGCTTACTAAACTACACTTTGTTTTCAGTTAATTTTATGTAGGGGTGACAAACAAAATAAACATGGATGGTTCAGGATTATCTATTCCAAGATTTCATGGAATCTATTTGTAATTTTCAGATTTAAAATTCCAAACACAGTTTACAATATCGAATCCTGATACATTTCTAAAATATTCAATGAAATTTGTACATATATTCAATGAAATTCATATATTCAATAAAATATTCAATGAAATTTGTACATTTTGTCATAACATTCTAAACATGAGCCCTGTTTAAAGAAATAAAATTAAAATAATTTAACCATAAAACCTCTTGCAATTTTTCTTAAGAAATATTATTTATTAATATAGTATTATATAATTATCAGTAAATATGTAGATATAATATTAATAAATATTAAAATTAATACTATTCCAAGTTTGAAAATAAATAAACTGTACAACATTAATTTTTTTTACCTATCTTTGTGATTAAAGAAGATCTGGTAAAACTCCAAAGTTTTAAAATTTGTACTGATATAAGAATGTTTCATCAATAGTTAGTGTATTTTAAAACTGTTAATATTAATTTATTAACTAGCACAGCACCTATCTAAATGACTACTTACATATGAATTGGCAGTCTTTCTAGAATCAGAGTACATTCCGAAAAGTGTTATACTCCCCCTCCTATATATATGTTACTGCACTTATTTATATTTTAAAATGATTTCACATAATTACTGCCATTGGATATTCTCTATTTTCCAATGAAACAAGAAATAATGTTTTTAAAAAATTACTCACTTTCAGTACATTGCCATTCAGTAAGAGTTGACATGGCCATCAATGGAATCATATATTCTATACTAGGGCCTTGGTAGAGAGGTAACCTGAAAATACACAGAAAGAATTTTTTTATTTTCATTCAAAAAATTCCTTTCAAAGGAATTTGTAACTTCAAGTAAAAAGTATATTCAAAATTTAAAAAAAATTAAGATATTAACAACATCAATTATTTGGGAACAAATAATTTTCTATCTGAATAATATTGCATTAGTCTGGATTTTTTGTTTTATTTTTTATTAAAATTAATGAACAATTACATTTGGTAGTATATCAAATTTACATTAAAAAAAAAACAAACTTGTATCTTATATGTGAAGTTGAGACTATTCATAATCTAATTTTAACCTCAAAGGTCACTACAATAGGCTATAATTGGTACTTCTACCTCAACTGACTCCACAATAATATTGTTCAAACAACATTATTATTATTATTAATTGTTGTTGGGGTAAAAGGAATTCTGTAACAAAGGACTAGTAATGTCCTGTTTTGAGTATATGAGGTGTGACAACTTAATTCCTTGAATATCTCTGAAAGCAACACTTTGCTTACCTGGTCACTATTGGCTATTGTTACCCTCAAATTATTCTCATTGTGAAGCTGTGTTCTTCAAGAGGCAACATATCATTGCTGAAAACATTCTTGGAAATTTCTTTCCAGAATACCTTTTAGTAATGTAGTCAGGCTTTATTGGATGTCAGTAAATCTTTATCCTTTCAAGGATTTTTTCAATTTTACAAATAGCTAAAAATCACAGGGGGTGGGGGTAACTAAGTCTGTTAAATTAAGTGGATGGCTTGCACACTCCTAACATGTGCAGAAGCACTGTCATGATGAAAAATTCACTTGTCAGGTCAGAGAATGGATTTTTTTAACCCAAACAAATTCTTGTAACCCTTTCAATACTTCTGAATAAACATGCTGACAGTTTGTCCAGGTGGTAAGAACTTGAAATTATCCCTTTACAATCAAAGAAACACACAAGCACGGTCTTAATCTGTAAGCAAGATGTATAGTTGAATTCTTTTTTCATCTGCTCTTCTGTTGAAAACATTGCTTTTTAATAATCAGATAATGACTGTCAAATATCACTGAATAATTTTAAAAGATGAAATGTGAAGCCAACATTATTTCTTCTTCTCCCTCTTCATATTCAGTTCTTTTGCTATCAGACACACCAAAGTTTATACAGTCTACATTTGTATCTGTTCTTTGTGCTTTGGTTGCTTACTTTTTGCATCATCATACACCTCTTTCTATCCCCACTCCAACCATCTACACCACCACTCAAATATGCCATTTTTAGTAAAGCTAATGTTTTACTAGCATTTTTACTAATCTTTACAAAAAAAATTGATATTAATCTGCTGCTCCAGATTTCTTTCATTCATTTTCCACTGACAGTATAGCATGAACACTTATAACTTCCTCTACTGCTTGGCAATAAATGAGTCATCTAGTTTGTATTTTCAGAAAGCTAATGTTAAAATATGTCCAAATGTTCTACAATATAGTCATTCCATCAGTTGTCATGTAGGATATTTTTACTATTATGATTTCCTGCTTCTTTTTTTTTGTGGAACTGTTAGCTTGCTTTTTATATACAGTAATGTTTTCTATTATAGTGAAACTTAAATACACAAAAACCTTTTTCTCTGAACAAGTTTACGGCCACATCATGTTGAAACACCAGTTCCTGTATGATCACCAAAGTTAAGCAACATTGACCCTGGTGACTGCTTGTGAATACCAAGTGCTGTAAGCTTGGACTGTGGATGGTGTGGGTGATAATGGCTTAGAATTGTTAATCAGTGAGCAGAGTTCCAATTTCAGTTGGGTTTGTTATATTCACTTAGACGTTAATATACTTGGGAAAGGTATGAATCCACCTCTTCTCCCCCAGCTATGGGTTAATTAGTAAGACTTGTGTCACTAAAACCATTATTATCTAAAAAAAAAATTGCATAAAAAATATTTAGATTTTGGCATTAAATAACCCATAGAGGTTGATATGCCACTAAACAAAAACAACCAATCAATCACCTCTTTTCACATTTATGAGTTAATAATGGTTTAGTGATACAAGTCAATTATGAATATATGTTGATATGCTGCTAAACAAAAACAACCAACCATAGAGATAACAATCACATAACATTCTTCTTTGTTTTCTGTACCCTCAAAACATAGGTGATCATGGTTCTCTACAACTTCCTGTCCTTTGTAGCTGTTAATAAATTTTGTCTGTTATCTCTCTCAAAATGTTCTACCGTCCATTTACTCAAGCTCACTAAGTATGTTATGCATTGTTTTTCTCTGTCTGTCTTGCCTTCAGTCTGTCCCATCAGTATCATATTTTCCAAGCCCTCTTTCCTCATTAAGTGTCCTAGAAACCTCAACTGCCTGATATTAAGTATAAGTTTCGTTTTTTTGTTGCCATTTTCTCTAAAACTTTGTCCATGCTCACATGTTTGGTCCATGGTATCGTCAGCATACATCTGTAGAACCACATTTCTGTTGCTTCAAGTCTCTTCTTTATCTTTGAGGAGATTGTCTAGCACTGACTGCTATACAGGAGAATAAATATCATGTAACTGTTTAATACTCTTTTCCATGTCAACAGCAAAGTTTTTCTATTTCTTAATACACTGCTTAGCATTTGGAATGCATCATTGGCTATCCCAATACAACTTTGAATTTCAGTGTCATGTTTTATATCCTCTGTTTAAAACCCCAGATATTTAAATTTCTGTGCTTGTTTGATTTTGGCATCTCCAATTTGCACTTTTGCTAACAACAATGCATTCTATGTTCTTGCAGTCAGTTGATGTTTAATCGTTCTTCTTGAATTCCTTCACTACCTTCTGTAGGAGTTCTTGTACTTTTCTTTCTGTGTCTGCTATCAACACTGTGACATCTGCATATCTTATGTTAAGATTGTGGCTGCCAATAATGACTAGAACTTCTAGTTCTCTCAGAATTTCTTTGCTGTGTAGGTTGAATAAGCCCAGTGAGAAGGTACATCCTTTTACACCACTTTCTATTTTTGAATATCTGCTGAACTCATTTTCTATTCATATACTGCCAATATAGGTTCTTGATTATTCTAATATCCTTCCAAAATATGTCAAGGTTTCTAAGCAGTTCTAACAGGTCTTTATGGCATATTTTATTGAATGTCTTTGCATAATCTATAAAATCCATGTACATGTCCTTCTGCATTTGTATTGCTTTTTCTGATAACATTCTGGGCATAAATATTGTGTTCCTTGTTCCAGTGTCCTTGAAGAACATGTCCTATTCCTGTCCTATTTCCAGTAGATACTGCCATACACTCTTTTCATCAGAATTTGGATGATAATTTTCATTATATAGCTAGCTCATTAGCCTGATTGTCTGATGGAGTTCACATTTGTTTGCACCTGGCTTCTTAGGCAGTGCTATGAAAATATATCTACTTAAGTCTTCCGGTATATTATCTGTCATTTATTAATTCTGTAATCTTGTCTGTCAAAATCATCTAAGGCTGCAAGCATCTCTACTACAATTCCATCTAGTCCTGCTGCTTTGTCTCGGTTCAATTTGGCCAGTGCAGATTCCACTTTAATATTTCCAGTCTGTTGATATTTCTTTGTATTGTAGGTTGTTCTCTTTTGTTGTGGAAGAGTTTGCTGGTGTGACACCCACTGGTGGTTGCAGCACCAATATGTGACGTCCTCTGGTCGTGACGCCAATATGTGACACTGCGCTGTTGGCCTGTGTCAACTCCCAGTTGTGGTGCGAAGCTGTAAGGTTTCTTCCACCAGCGTTTGGGGTTGACTCCTTGTCACTGCCACCAGCCTGTGTCCCGGTCAATCTGGTCGTTTCCAGTTCAATACTAGCTTTGTCATTCCCAGCTCACTTCCAACGTCTGGTTACCAAAGTAACTATTTTGATCTCAAGTCTAACCTACCCAAGTTGTGACTTTGATCTTAGGCAGATGAAACCAATCAGGCGTTGGGCTGTAGTGCAAGCTGAATCCGGGGTGAAGGTGATATCGCACAAGCATAAGTAAAAGAAGCAATAAAACAAATCTCAAAAGGTTCAAATATGTTGAGAAATAACAAATTATCTTTATCCATCTGTTATATACAGGAATGTGTTTCTCTCCCAGCCCGTTTCTATGGATTTGTGACACGTTTGTGTTTCTTAAGCAAGTTTTGGTATCTTAAGTCGTTCATCAATATAACTTGCTTTTGGCAGGAAGTCGGAAGGATGTGGAATTTCTCGGTCAGCTTCTGCGAGGCAACACTCTGACTATCTGGAACTGAACTCCAACTGCAAATCAACTGCCAAACTGCCTGGGGATGTCCGTTTATATGGACACCGACCAAAACCCGGTGTGGGGCCTGACATGGTTTGGGTTCCTAGATAATTCTTGATTCCCAACAAAAATTATCTTTGTTCTTAGGCCAGGAAAATTAATTACTTCCCATTTTTGGAAGATTAATCACTCTCCATTTCGGGGGTTTCTCCCTCGTCCGTGAGGGAAGGTTGGAGGAGAGTTATCCTCCTAGACTCTTCCTCTCTCACATTGGTATTTCATACCAATCCCCTCAGTGGGTGTTAACAACTTCTCCGTCTTCCTCATACATTCACCTCCGCCTATCACCCATGCTACCTCTTGACCAATAATCTCTCAGCAGTGTGGGTGTGGCTAGACTGGCCCTCTTAAAATTATTATCCAGAATTTTGTTTACAAAATCCTTTTTTTCATCGGCCAAAACCCCAGATTGCCAAATAATTCTTATCACATCTTTCTTTTGGGGACACCCAAAATTCACTTTGTCAGGTCTCTCTACCGACTCATCAATCACTGTCAAAACCCAACATCTGGCTTCTTTGCTAAGTCAACTTTTAACTGGGAGGTCCATGTTTTACCTGACATACCTTAAAATCCTCTTATCACCAGATGCCCATTTTCGACGACACTGTGTCTGACGTCAACAGTTTGGAAAAGTAATAATACGATTTCCTTTCTCATGCCAGAATTCTAACACATACCAGATGGTTTCCCTTCATTGGTCACAGGAATCAAAATTAAATGATATCTCTGAAAGATAACTAATATCGATTCTCTCTGCCTGTATTGCAGTCGTCCAAAGTTTTTTTATGACCTCCATGTGTCGGCCAGCGTTGTTTTTCTTTCTGAATTCTGTTTCCCTTGGCACATCATTCCCTTACCATGACATTAATCAGTTTTGACAGAATCTCATATCTCGCTTTTTCTTACGGATTTTCTGTCTCGTGCGAAAAGTATCTTTCTTCGTAAATAAAATAAAATCTTCTTTTTAACATCGCTCAGTCTATCTTTCGATATAGTTCTTTCTTGCCTTGAGTCTTCCCTGTTTTTAATTTCTATGGTTAATTAGTTAGCCAATTACCATAGCTAAATAGTGTTACACTGATATATTAGTTCCATTTCTGAAGTATTTTTCCTTCTTTAATATCAGTGTTCCGTCCTTGGATTTTATGGATCCTGTTGATGAGAATGTTTTTGTTGATCCATTCCTCTTCAGCCTGCCTGCAGTTGTTCCTTATTTCTTTGTGTAGAGTCTTATATTCTGTTTTGTATCTTGGCATGCTTTTTTTATCTGTCATCTATTCATTATTTTTTCTTTGTCTAATTTCCTCTGGGATGATCTTGATTGCCGATCTTATTAAAGCTTCTCTTTGTTCAAATATTTCTCTTTCAGATTTGGGTTGTTCAAGACTCTTTCATTTTGGGTGCTATCTTAGTCCTCATCAATTTCTGTAGTTTCACTCTAAGTTTACATATCACTGGGAGGTGATTTCTTTCACAGTCAGCACTTGGATATATTTTACGGTGTAAAACTGCATTCCTGAATCTCTTGTTTTTAGTTATGTAGTTGATCTGCTTTTTTGTTTTTCCTCCTTCACTATGTCTATATTTGTCATGGGAGTTCTTGAAACCAAGTGTTGGCTATTACCTGTTCATTCGCCATACACCACTGGACCCATTTTTCTTCGCCTTCATTATGGGTTCCTAGTTCAAACTTGCTGACTATTTTCCCCATCACTCTTATTGCCTACTTTGGCATACATCAGAATTTTCAATTTCTTCTTCTGCACTTTGGGCTGTCAGTGCATACACAATTATGATGGATATATTGAAAGGCTTTCCTTTCAAATTAATGACAAGAATTCTTTCAGATAGTTGACAATATACCAGAATGTATTTCTTCATATCTTGGTCTAGTATCAATCCTACTCCTCTTTCAGTTTTTTCTCTGTCTGCATATATGATTCATACAATTGTTTATAAAAAAGATCTGTATTTACCTTAAATCATAAAGAAAAAGAAACATTTTTCTCACTAAATAATGGAGGAAATGATAAAAAATAGTATCATGAGAAAGATTACCTTATTCCTACAACAGTTTGTAGAATACTGCAGACACCCGACATGAACATTGTGGTGCACAGAAGTTTAGCTTTAAAATCCTCATCTGCCTGTGCACAGACTAATTTGGCAACAAAAAGAGAAACAGTCAGACTTCCAGACAAAGAAATCAACACTTGCTGAAAAAGACAAAAAGAAAATATATAATATAGTACCATATACATTTACATATAATTATTTGTTGGTGTGTGTCATAAAGTGAGCATTATTTCATTTTCTGTTGACAATGATATATGACTTGTCAAACAACTGTGGGAATAAGGTTATCTGCTGCTTTTGTAAAAATGTAAAACAAATAAACCTGTATTTTTTTTTTTTAGCACAGAAATGAAAAACTTAAACGCTATTTGCATAAAATGAGAAACAAGGCATGATTACTTTATGATCAGTTAAACAGGCATGTCTGTCAACATCAAGTTAATCTTCAAACGTGGTGAGAGTGGTGGTGATGGTAGGAGTGCAGCTTTCAAAATATCTCTGAATCAGAAATACTGAAAAACCTTATTGTTCATAATAAAGTATTTTGTTTTCAACTGGAAATAAATTAATTTTAGCAAAAACAACTGCACTTGATAAGAGCATAAACAAGTGTGTAAAACTGTTTGAAAATGAAATTGCGACAAGTAAAATATATTTGAATTTCAGACAGAAATGATGTTGAGGAGTTTACATTATTTACATTCAGATGAATGTCCTTATCATTGTTGTTGTTATCACATTTCAGGCAGATGTGACCTCTGGCCTTCTTCAAGTGCCTACTGCTGAATAAGTAGGTATTTTTAAGTGGAACTGATAAAATTCCCAAATCAACAATAAGAAAAACAGACCAAAACAATACAAGAAATGAACACTGCAATACAAAGCAACAATAAAACAATAGTAAAGTAAATACATTATAAAAGAGAATAGCTGGATACTAGAAATTCAATAAATCCTTATTGGATTTCCAGAATATCCAGAACCAGCTAAAATGAGAAATGATGGGCACTGTGATTGGGAATAAATGATGAGAACAACTAGAAGGTAATTATTAGGTAATTTGTAGCCTATTCTAGCAAAAGAAACAATCAAGTTATATTGACTAGCAGTTCTGTAGATCAGGCTTTCAAAAAAAAAAGGGAGATAAATAAAATTATGATAGCTGAAGTTATTTGCTTATCAAGAAAGATCATCATCCTTTAACCTCCCTGTGGTTGGTGAGAACTCTATTAACAATCCCTTTCCACACTGCTTGGTCTTGCATTACTGTCCCCAGATTCCCAATGTCCAACCCTGAGGCCCAAGCCATGGTGTCTGGGAAAGTCAGCTTTCATGAGAAAACACCTCTAGAAGGATGCTAAAGAAGTAAGGATGAGACAACCTCCCACCTGCTCAGTGGCAATGGCCAGCAAACTACAGTCACTTTTGTTTGAACTTAAGAGAGATTGGTTGCAGTTCTCTATAAATTGTGTTAAGCATTGCATGGGATCTCCAACTGATGTTCTGGATTTTTCTAAGCAGATTTGTATATGTTCTATCTCGTTGTCTTTCAAGACAAACAGATTATGTCCAAGTTTCTGATCCATAAAGAAAGATAAGCTCTGGTATTTAGAGCTATGTTAAGTGGAATGTCTTTCAAGGCAACAGATATGACTTTTAAACTGTGTATGGAGGTTTGGAACTTTGACAACTGTCAATGCTCACACTCCTATGCACTTAACTAGCTAGTCTAAACTCCTTTAGGGCTTCCACAATGTATTGCAAAGTCTTTTACCACCATCGTCTCAAAGGCAGTCTAAGACTGCCAAATATAAAACCTGTCAGCATGCACATTTTCATTTCTTAAGATTGGATATGCTGAAAAGTTAATTCTAGAAAAGAAACACCAAGAAAATCTTCCAGCTTTGAGCAATATACACTCAGACCAACAAATGGTATTAGTAATTTTCAATGAGTGCTCTATCCAAAAATGTTGACACAATCTGATACACACTTCTCAGATATCCAGATTTTTTTTTTTTTTTAAATGATTTCACTCCAAGCAATGCAATAATACCACTAGAACACAAGGGGTTACTGGAAGTGAGAGAGAATGAGAAAACTTTAGGAGAAAGGACAATAAAAGAATAGGATTCAGGAATACAGAAGGTAGCGATTGGTATTGAATTAACAATTTTTGAAGATTGTAGGTGGTAGGGAAGCCAGAAGAGAATTCCACAGATGAGAATTGCAAGAAAATAAACTATTAGAATAGAACCAACAGTTGCATCTAGGTAATTCAAGAGTAAAATGGTAAGACCTAATTGCCAATCTAGTAGCATGCTTAAATTCATGCAGTCGAGGCACTAATGAGGAAAAAAATCATCAGAAAAATTGTCATGAAAATATTTGTAGAAAAGACACAGAGAAGCTACATCACACAGTGAGAAAGTGACTGAAGTAAAGATGCTGCCAGTTCAGGATCAATTACTTTACAGACCATTCTTTGGATTTTATCAAAAATTTCAATATATTTAGTAGGAGCACCAAATCGGATATGGCAGCAATATTCAATCCATGGACAAATGGTAGATTTATAAATGCACAACATGGATTGTGATGAGAAAAACAGTGAACCAACTTTCCTAACAGTAGACCTAGCAATTGACCCAATATAATCATTACACTTAATGTCAGTGGAAAGTGAGCTATTCCTTGCCCAATATAACCACTAAATGGAGGTCTTTTTCAAGAGCAGTTGCAAGTTTTACTTTGTCTGACCTGTTAGACCATTTTTCTTTTTAATTGAAATCACCTGAAGCAAGGCAGTAAAGCCACTAAGACACGGGGGGGGGGGTTCTGGGTGTGAAAGAATTAGAAAACAGAAGCATTATTGAGAAATGAGAACAATAGAATAGTAATCAGGGAGACATTAAATAATGACTGACATTGCATTTAAATTTTTGAAGAACAAATTTGATTGGAAAGCAAGAAGCCAGAAGAGTCCCACAAGCAAGAAGTGCAACAAAAAAAAACTTAGTATAGAATGGTTACATCCAGCCAATTCAACTGTAAATTGATGAAACCTTGTTGCTAATCTAGTACTGAACTTAAATTCATAAAGTCTAGGTATCATAGCAAAGAGCTCAACCGAACAATTCCCAAGAAAGTATTCATAGAAAAGGCACAGGGAAACAACTTTAGAGCAGTGGGAAAATGACTGAAGCTGAGACACCAGGTCAGGACCAACAGTATTGCTGATTCTTCTTTGGATTTTTCAAGAATCTCTAGATATATAGCAGGAGCACCATCCCATATGTGGAAGCAATATCTGAGGCATGGATGAATGGTGGACTTATAGATATGTAAGATAGATTCAGGAGAGAAAAATTGTCTAGCACAACATAGTGAACCAACTTTCTTAGCAGCAGACCTAGCAATAGATTCAATATAGTCTTTCCACCTTATATCAGCCAAGAATGTTAGTAGAATCTGCAAGCCATGTAGAGATCTATTTTAGAAATGATAGCAGAAACCATGGACAGACTTATGTGAATATAACTCAATAGAGACTCTGTTCTAAGGGGAAAACCAAGATACTCAAGATGAGTAATGAGTGAAATTTGAAGAGAATTTCTGACCAAAGCATTCTGCTTTATCTGCAATAGATGACAATACTTCAAACCAATTGAAGAGAGGAAGGACTAAGGATTTGCTCTTGTTCAGTAAATTCTTACAAAGTTGCTGGTAATCTCTCGAACTAAACTCATGAGCAGCTATACAGTTTTGTTGAGAAAGGAATATCAAATGTCTCAATGATGTGGTATACTTCACCTGGTTGGTAATTTGGCTCTGGTACTCTCTCTCTCTGGCTGCCTTGGTCTCTTGCACTCTCCTTAGCTGTTTGCCTCACTCACTCTTTCTGTTGGTAGGTCTTTCATCAGCACTGGTTGATTTGCCACAGTGCACTCTGTGACAAGGTGGGTAGAGATCCCACCTTATTACAGGTGACACAGATCCCCAAAGTGTATTGACAACAGAACTCCATCATATATAGCATAAGGTACATATTCTTCATTATACGGTTGAAGGAAATTAAATTTTTGATTAAATTTTCCATATATAGGGATGAATTAAATCTAAATTTAAGATTAAGAGAGTGAATTGGTTCTGATAAATCAGTCCAATGAAAGTTTGTGGGGATCGAAATGCAAACTTGAAAATGACAAGTCTACACTTACCAGATGATTAGCCTTAGATAAAACTAGACTTTAAAAAAAAAAGACTTGAAATTTGAATATTTACCTAAAATGGTAAACTACTTTTATTCTTAAGTTTCAAAATAGAGAATTAAATTGAACCTATAACTACATGATCATTCAGACCAGCCATTGCAGTCTGATGTAGCCTGTTGTCAATCAGATGAACTGTGAAAAGGGTAGATACAAATGTGAGAGTTTTATAATGTTAAATTACTGCCCTCTGATGATAATCACAGGTGCATGATATTTGAAAGCTTCTTCCTCTTGGCTTTGCTACCAACAAGATGTCTCTTCTCGCTATGTTAGCATGTAAGTACTTCAGATACACATACTGAAGGTTGCTTTGAACTCTTCACAACTTTAACTTCATTTCACATTTCCTTTTGTAATATATCTGTTTAATACATTTATTAATGCTTGTTTGTTTAAATTCAATGTTTTGTTTCTTATTTTTACCCAAACTCACAGGAGCTTGCCAATATCGTTTGCAGTACAAATACATCAAGAGCCAATAAATATTCCGTTCTGGGTATGACAATAAACTACCTCCAATGGCAACGCCTCTGATCAGGAGGTTTTGAGGAGCGTGGAAGCACCTCTTAATTGCTGATGTTCCTAGGTCCACCCTGACCCATTTTTATTACAACATTTCGGCTGTTGTACGCTCCAGCCTGTCTCCCTTTTATATTTCTTTCTGCAGCTGCATGGGATAGCATACAAACAGTCTTTAGTCATGTTCTCTTCTATGGGGGGGTCTTACTCAGGAGAGATATCTGCGAAGTGTCGTCCAGCTTTTGAAGGTTGTCCTGATGTTATATGGACCTCAGATCTTTTGTATTTTCTCTGATAACCCCTTCATATAAGGCAGGCAGACTGTTTTCTGAGTGTTGTTGTCCTCT